CAGCCAAATCCCTCTTCTTGGATGCACAGAAAAATCTAGGTCAGTCACATCTAAAGGAAGAAGGCTGCACTGTCAGGGCTGCTGCCATTTCAACACTCCTGTGCTCACAACCAAACCAGGCTCCACATGGACAGGCTGGAGAGGGTCCAGAGCTGAACAGGGCAAAACAAACCAGGAGCTCCCTCACCTGTGCTTGAAAAATTCAGCACTGCCAAGAGGAGTGGTGAATTTCACTGGTGGCTCTAAATGCCATCCCACACCCTGTTCCTTCCCAAACCCCACTCTGAACTCACACTCTCTCAGACTCCCATCTACTCTGGGGCAGCTCTATTCTCTCCAGTCACACTCAGATCAAACCCAAGAGGTGAGGAGCCATGCCAGACTGGAAACATTTCCATCCAGCAAGGTGGTGATGCTCAGGATGACCTGGGAGACGTGGTGTCAGCTCACTAGGAATCTGACTGCAGCTGGGCAGCTAACACCCTGCTCAAAACCTCTGCCACGCTGCCCACGAGCTCTAATAGCAGGGTAAGGGATTAGGAAGCCAACTGCAGCCCTCATGAGGTTCCCCTTAATTTTCTGAACCTCCCAAGATCCACAGGCTCATATCCCCAGCGAACACTCTCCATGTCATTAGGGTAACTGCTAGGCAAGTTCAAAAGGCAGTTGGCTTCCAAGCCATCAAGCCAGAAAAAGCTATAATTTCTTTCACTGTAATTTCTCTCTATGATTATAACAGCGGTTGACTGAGTCAACACAGGCAATGTCAGCAAGAGATTTCACCCAAGGACAGCAGATACCCAGGAAGAAGCAGAGTCTTTGGGAGGAGGGGCTGAAATGTGTGTGGGAGCAGCCTGGATAGATGGAGTTCTCACTGGGACATTGAACAGGCTCAAGGAGCAGAGAGCCTGTAAATACACACAGCCTGAAGGGCTGGGAGCAGAGAAGGGCAATCTGCCTCTGCTCAAATCAGGGGGAGTTTCACCTCTGATTTTGATGGGGCTTTTACCCATCACAGTTAATAAGCAACCAAACCATCACCAGACGTGGAGAGGCCACCCTGCTCCTAGCAGTGATCCTTCCTTCTCTTACAGCTCCAGGGACTGTTTTATACCCCAGGGCATTAACCTATCTCAAGCTGGGAAAATCAGGCTCAAAAATGGGGTGTCCTGTGCAGGGCCAGGAGTTGGACTTCGATGATCCTTGTGGGTCCCTTCCAACTCAGGAGAGTCTATGAAAAATGATGCTTTTAGCTCACCAAAACTGGGGCTCCACAGGCTCCTTGGATGAGACAGAGCCCCTAGTACAGGGCAGCTTCAACCAGAGTCCTTTCCCAAAGCTCTGGAAGGACTGCTGTCTTTCCATGGAATACAAGGAAGCTTGGGGAAACAACCCTGAATGGGTTGCAGCATATCTAATATGCCTCTCTGCTTCAAAATCTTCTGTGGATCATTCTGGAATCCTCCCTTGAACTCCATGCCCAAACACTGCATTCTGACATTTCAGAAGGGCAAGAATCCAAGATTTTTCCAGACCAATGTTATCCTAAAACACACAGGGCTGTTCACCCTCAGCTGCCATAGCCACTCTGATATTGTTTTAAGGTGGGGACAGAGAAAGGCTCATGCAAATTGTCATTTCAGAAAAACAAAGATATCACACTACGTCATTTCAGCTCTCAGCACAGCAAAACCAACTCTGTTTGTTCATAGGTTAGCAAAGTCAGCTGGAGTCTTGCCTTTGGCACTGGAGAGGGCAGAGACAGAAGGATCATAGCTGGAATTCCTGCTCAGATGGCCTCGGGGGAACCAGCAGCCAGAAAAAGAAATCAGCCCTAAGTCCTGGCGTGAAGCAACCTAAGGAGAGCTCAGCAAACTGAGGGCTTGGAGAGCCCTGGGGAACACAGGGGATGCAGAGGCAAAGGATTAGTTGAGACCCTCTCCCTCATGCCAGCTGAGCAGAGGATGAGGTGGGAAGCACTGGATTGGAGCCAGATCTGCTTCCCAACCAGGACAAATCCCCACTGGTCCCACAGAGAAAACACAGTTGCTCCATTTGATGCCAGAATCCATCTGATTCTCCATCTCTGATGCTGCACTGATGAACTCACTTCGGAGGGGAACAGGGCTGGGAAACAATAGGTTACATTCCTGAACTCCTGTGTGCTTCCCTCAGATGTGTTTGCCACGAGAATTAAAGGAACAACACTGAATTTGATCTGAGCTGAAATCAAAGCAGATGCTCTGGGTGAATTCCTGGCACAGCTGAGGTCGACACCAAAACTCTGTTACCTCACCAGAGCCAGAATTTCACTCATAGTTTCTATAGACCAACAATCAGTAGAAATCCATCCAAGGCTCTTGCTTCAATTTCACTGAAAAAATGTATGTAAAACAAGTATTTCCCTGCAATGATTGTGAAGTAAACGACCTTAAAGTGCTTTCCTGCATGAAAATAGGCAACAAATTGCAGCACAAAGCTGATTAACCTGTTTGTTTGCCCAAAGTGAGGGCTGTGTAGAGAGGAGAAAAACAGGTGGAGTAAAGGTATTTGTAAATAAACCACACAGTCTGCTTAAAGCACAAATGAAGAAACGTGGGTGGTTTGCTTCCACAAAGCTCACATCCAAAAACAGGCACTTTTTTCCCAAAAAAAGACCCAAGAACAGCAGCACACAGCTGGATACATAGCCATGGGAGGAGCAGATTCCTTTTAAGAGTGTCATTTTCAAGCTGCAGTTTGTGATATTATGAATCCTCTTCACTAAATGTTTTCCTATTTATCAGTGAAGAAAAAAAGCTGCCACCAGCCACAAGTCCCACCTGTCTGGGAGAGCCAAGGGCCACCCACCACGAGCATGTCCACAGGGGCAGCTCTCCAGGCTGCACTGTGGAAAAATTTTGCCAATGCTGTAATTTTGCTAAGAAGAGAACAGCTGAACTGACACAGGGCAGAGGTTCTGAGGCTTTGAAGTCTAGTTGGATCACTTATCCTGCTTTCCACTGCTCAGTTCCAGTGGCTGATTCCCACCCATCAGAAATGTCTCTCCATCATCCTAAGCAGTTCACAATTAGCTGCAAAGCTTTAGGAAGGTGTTTTTTGTTCAGGGATCCTAACCAAGACACTCAGGAAGGTCAGGTTCAGCCATAGCCTCTTCTACATGGTTTGCCCATGGTCACAATCCAAATGGTGTTCATTTTTCACAGCTGTAAAATGAGAAGTTGTAAAATGGGGGATTTTTCTCCAACCTCCCTAACTCAGAGATGTCTTACAAACACCCTCAGTGAGATATTCAGACACTACACTCAGATATTTACATACATAAAGGTCCAAGCATTTCTGAACCACGAGGCTCTGCAGAGGTAAAATTGGGCAACCGAAGTAAAGGGCTACCCCAGAACACTTTGCCAAAGCAATTTCTGCTTAAAATGTTTTAAAAAGTGCCACTGAGGGAGACAATGCTGCTGGAAGGGCAGATGCAGATGACAGGGAATGTTACTTTGATCTAATTCAAGTTAACAAGGAAGAACAAAATGATAATCCAAGTGTGAACCAGGTGTACTAATAACAATGGAACAACCAACTTAACTAAGTCAATGAACTGGAGCTGAAAAGAAAATACCATTTCAGTGCTGTTCATTAAACTGACAGCAAAGATTTGAAGAAAAACTGGATTTTAGCAGGCACAATGAGATCACCCACAGCAACACTTTGCATTCCCCCTGTGTGAGGTTTATCTTCAGACACAAACTTCGCCCTCTGAAGTGATAATGTTATGAAAAATAATTTCCTAGGTTATTTTTAGATCATTTATTTGAAGCATTAGACCAAGTTCACAGGTCAGACACAACAGTCTCACTATGCTTGGTCCCCTGGCTCCTACTGCCAACCTCCAGGTCAATCAGCCCAGGGATCAACAACTCACAACCAGCCTCAAGAGATGAGACTGTTCAGCCCATCAGAGCTCAGTTTGGACTGAGGAGAGTTAGGCTGATTCCTGGCTGTGCCTGAGGCCTCTTTATACCCATGGGCTGGACAACAGGCACTCGTACCTGTTCTCTCATTTCTCAGTACCTGAGCCACCTCCTGTGGCCTGGCTCGGACCACATCAGAGGCTGCAAGATGCTCAGACTTTGTGTCCCTTTACACCTTTTTCCTTCATTCCCACATGCAGCAACAGCCTCCAGGATGCTGTGATACAGCTCACACACCACCAGCTGCACTGCAACAGGGGTGGGATTTCTTCTCTAGCCCAAACAAGGCTACCAGCAATGACCTGCTCACAGACTTAGGTCCTGGCTCTGACAGGCCAAGCACCTGTGGCCAACACAGCAGGACAGATAGCCTGGAAGGCAT